GAATCACTTAGTTGTTACCATCGATTCTAACCACAAGGAGTAGAGTTTAGTAAAACTTTGATTAGGTAAATGTTCTATCAGTGGCTACCGACTTTGGTAATTTCTTATAGAGTGTCTGGCTAGAGGATAGACAAATAAATAGACACTGAAATTGATTAATTTTCTCATTCTGACAGAGATAGAAGCAGCCACTAATATCTACTCTGCTAAGTATCTGAATATACTGAAGGAGTACATAGAACTGGGCTCTTTCAGTCTCAATATCATGTTGTTTGAGATATTGCAGAACCTTATTGGCAGCTGAGTAACTGATTTGTACATTGTGATTTAGTTGCATAGCCGCTTGTATTTCTTTAGGTTTGGTCTGTTTTGTAATCATAATTATTTTTAGTACTGCTTCTCGAAGGAGGAGATATTGGCTTATAGAATCACGCTTTAATCGAGTAAGGGCAAGGCATGTTGTAAGTTTGGGATTTAAAACTGTAATAATGACTTGCTCTTGAATCACTTTCTAGATTGCCAGAATATGGAACTGACAGTTGGAAGAGGTCTGGCATTGGAGTAGGTATCTGGACCAATCAGATTTAGTAAACTTGACTGTAAACCCATCCTGCACAGCCCACTTATGAAGCTGAATCTTGAAATCTGTAAAGGTTTCAAAGCTTTGATGCTGGAGTAAAGCTACTAAGGACTCTGACTCTGAGGAGAAGAATGCTGTCCAGGCAACTAGTTCAAGAGTCTCGACTAAGTTTTAGCTCGCTTTGTCATGCAACATTGTCAGTGCTGTATTGCCAAAACAGATAGGTATTGGTGTGTGAAGCAAGGACAGGAGGATGAAACTGAAATTACCATTAACTAAAGTGGCTTTGGATAGTTGTAAGAAGTTTAATCTATGGAATTTTTTTTCTTTTAATTATTATCTTACAAAGTTGTTACCCAGGGTAACTAAAAGGGTATCTTGTGAAGAAATATATTTTTTATGGCATCATGCGAAAGGGGCCTTCCTGTAAGGGTATCCTGTAAAATAACTGTAAAAAAAATAAAAAAAATAAAATTTGTAGTAGCATTTCAGAATAAAACAAATTTTACAAATAAGGTGTGCCTTTGAAATATCCTAAAGAGAAAGTAAGGAGAGAAGAGATAATAAACCTATTTCTGAATAGGAAGTCTTAGTATAATATAAAAGTAGATGGTTAGAAATATAAGAAATATTAATTTCTTATAATAATATTATTAAGATAGTAGTATTATAAGGGGTTGAAGAAGTAATCCTTATACTAGAATATAGTACATGATTTTTTTTTTGGATAAAGTTTATAGTTTTTTCTTTTTTGTTTGTGTTAGGCAAAGGCAACCTGTATAGACTCAGAGTTGCCTAAACTAACCAAGGTTTGTTTTTGTAGACAGAGATTGTCTAGGAAGGCTGGAAATATATTTATTTCATTTATGACTACTAAGAGTGAGGTGAAGTAGAATATAATTGTAAGAACAATGTTATATTGTTAAGGTCTCTTCTCAATTTCTTGATGATGTCCAAAGGCTTAGAAGGCACTTTGATATTTATATTCCCCATCTGAGTATTTGTAGACTATATCTATCTATTATACAAACCATGTATCACTCTGGTTATAACTTACAATGTCGGGAATTCTTCAAAGGTGCGAACACTGGGAGACCCTAAAAACTACCACACCCTTTTCAGTAATTACTATTTTGCTAATTAGGCACTATGCTGTTCTCAATAGTAATTATCTGTTCTTCAGAATCATTAGACTTGTGGGTCAGTTCTCAAGTTAGACTGAGTTGGCCCCAATTGCCTCCCTTATTGATAAAGTGATCAGTTTTATCTGCGGGTTGCATCTGCAGGAGTAGTCATAAATTCAATCTTCCTTGGTTACTAACTTTAAACCTCCATAACACCAGATCTAACTGACAGATATTTTCCAAATAACTTCCTATTATTCTGTAGGTAGCCATTCTACCAGATTGGTAGATAATCTCTCAGTTAGAAACTTTACCAAGTCATGTATGTAACCTTTTTAGGTTGCTGACTTTAAAGCTCAATATCTACTGATCTAACTGATAGATTCCTATCTAGCATCTTCCCTTGTGTAGAGAAGAAGCACTTCTATAAGATCGAATCATAATCCTTTGGCCAGAAGTCCTTGGTTGTAGTGCAGAGAGCCTTGCAGTTGTAAGTAGCATTGGTAGAAAATAACTCAATACTAGAAATAACTTTGACAATAACAGGAGTTAAACACGTAACCTCCAGAGAGAAATCATCTGATATTCCAATTGAGCTAAGGATGTAGCATTATAGTCACAAGACGTAACTGAGATAGATATGTATGATGACGTGTGGGCCCTGTAAGGGGGTGGGAGGAGGGTGTTGGAGACCAGAGATTTTCGATTCTGAGTGAGGTTATCCTACTTAGGGTGGTTCCTAGGTATCGGATCCCAATACACCTAACAGTTTGATAGAAAAGGTTCTTTAATATGTTTTTTATTCTAATTTCTTTTTTTAGCTAACCTGAAGATGTGAATACTTATATTATTTTAAAATCATATTATTATAGTAATAATATTATCTATTAAAACAGTAATATATTACTGGACTAGATTATAGTATTATTATAATAATATTATGTTGATATATCATATTATAGATTTTTGAAATAAAATTGTATCCCAGTAGTAAAAATATAAAATACTATAATATTATCATAATATTATCTTACTTATATTACTGATTTAAATTACTCAGATAGAAGTTATATACAATTCTTGGTGTGGTCTAATAGGATACTAAAGAAATAATACTAGTATAATACTAACAAAATGTTGACTATAGTCTTATAACTAGTAATACTTTCTAACTTAGTGTTTAATTCAATTTGATATTAGATTTAAAGGTTTAATAATAACAAATTCTCACTGTTTGAATTCTGGTTTGTTGTTCTTATATACTTCTTACTGCTTAATTAGATTTTCAAAGTTAGAGAGGTCAATGTAGCTTACAATTCTGAAAGCAGGTTATAAAACAATCTTTTATCTAATCTTTTACTATGAAATTAATTTTAATATGTATTTCTAAAGAGTAGAAATGAAACATATTTGAGAAATTGTATGTACAGTTTTACATTCCTAAAATGACTTTTACTATATACATTAGTTAGTATATTACTGGCTAAGTTAATTTAGGAATACTAAACTTAGTATACAGGGAGATTTATAGAATCATATTAGTCAAATACTATATAAAACTAGGGAATATGAAAATCTTGTATATTGTAAGTATGTATTACATCATAGTATCTGGAATCTAGAATAGAACTTTTTCTAGTTGTTAGGTTTAAAGTATATCTAATTGGCAAGAATTTCTTTGACTAAGAACAGATACTTTTAATAAATAAAAATATTATGATAAGTACTTAAAGTATAGCAACTCAATGCTCACAGAAATCAAAATTGTACATGATAATATACTCCTAATCCAGCTTATATAAGGCATCACATTTCGAAATCACCTTGGTATATATTTTAGTCACCTCATATCATATTATATTTAAAAGCAATAGGCAAAATATACTAATACAAAATAAAATATATAATAACACTACAATGAAAAGGGGCGCTTGCGAAGCAAAATTTGGTTTAAGCTTCTGCTGTAATGCCCATTTCACATAATCTTTCTTCTCGGATATGTATACAAATATCCTTCTACAGAGAAAAGAACAACTCTACTATTGATCAGAATAAGGATAAGTTAGATTCTGATAACTTTGATATGCTGAAATAGTTAGTACCAAATGCAGTTCAATAGTATAATAAATAGTAGGAAGGCATCGTTTCACTCGTCCACTTAGGACTTACAGTGGCATTCCTTGTTTTATTGGTACGGTGCACGTCGAAAGGAGCCTAAAGATAACCTTAACTTGAACAAACAGGAATGCCAAACTCTGGACTGATGTTCAAATAAGAAATACACTTAGCTGAACGGTGACTATAATACTCTTCGCTCCTTCTGCGCCTTCTTGTTCACCCCTAGTTAGGCATTTCCTGTCTTCATTTCCCGTCATCTTTAAACCCAAGAGTGGGTAAGACTCCAGCAGTATCCTATTCAACCAACCAAGATACTAACCGTCACACTAATTAACCAATCGGTGTAGGAAAGTCACAGATCTACAGGCCTTGCCCATGTCCCCTTCTCCAGATAACTTGCGTAGCCAGGGGCGCCCAATTAAATCCTAGTCACTATTTAAATAGAAAGTAGGTCCCACCGAGACTCAACCTCAATGTCAAGTGATATCATGTGACCGTCCTCCCCCACTCAGCGGCAGTGTTAGAAACCCCCGTACAGTTTTCCATCCCGCCTACCGAAACTCGTCATCGCATAACAATAGACAAGACAAAACAGAACAGAAAGAAACACGCTACTATAATACAAACCCACCTGCACGAGCCAGAGCCGTAGACGTATGTATGGGAAGAGTGGTGTCGGTGGCGATGACACTGAGCCGGCGCCGAGAACGACGAGGACGGGAGCAAAATAAGAAGGGCGAGAATACGAAAAGACGTGGAGAAAAATGAGGACGCCGTCAACACCATCCGTGTAGAAGGATGGCGTACTAGTACATAGTGTGGTACGCGTTGAGGAAAGCAGTGGTAGGAAGGTTGGAGGAGAGGAAGTGGGACGCCTCTGTCTCCCATCGTAGCTACCCGGATGTGGATAAATACAGGATTGCCTGTAGAGTATCGGTATCGACATACTGTCCCTTAGATTTAATTTCCAAGGCTTCTGATTGGGTTGGGTTGTCACGGGAGGATATCAAATAGACGGGGGTCCATGGGTGTGAGTCGTATCAGTGCTTGGTATGATATGTGTGGAGGCGGAGGTGGGTTTTACGATGTGTGAATACATTAGTGTCACTCGGCTTCGGGGATGAGATAGGTGGCTGGGGGATTGAGAGAGACCAGCAGATGGGTCAAAGGCGGATGGATGGAGGGGTAAATAGAAACTTTAAAGATCCCACTTGACAGTTTATCGTTGGAATTGTACTTCGCACAGCGAACAAGATCAATGGCTACGATATCCCGAGCGGTATCTGGTGAAGAAACCAGGCAACTATCCGCAACACGTGGTAGCTTCCGCCCTCAGTATATCACCCAATATCGGACTCCTGCTCCCACGTCACTCTAATCCATCTTCTCTCTAGCATTGATAGCAGCAACCGTCTCCTCAATCTTCCTAAACGGCCATGAGAATGGCGGATATAAAAACGGCCTAAGGTCAAACCGGTTATCGTCAGGGCTATACTGCTCGGCGTGGTATGCAGGCGTCAAGACTGTCATCTTATGTCTATTAATTGCGTAATAGTAAAAGAAATTCCGGGTCTTAGTAGCGATAGCTCGAGGGCTCATCCTATCTCCCCACTCGTGCAGGAGCCGATTGAATGCACTCCAGGGTCCAAGTTTGTGGTTCTTGCGCAATTGGCCAAAGGTGGAGAGTTCATCGTATGTAAAGCCCATGTCTGCCTCGTCGGATTGCACGTACGTGCTAGTTATGGGTTCGAGTTCGGCTGTTGGGATCGCGGTGAGGAAGGAGTGTAGGATTGGCAGATTGAACTTGGCTGTGGCATAGGATATGAAACGTTTTAGATCGGTCTTGGATATGCCGCCTATGGGGTTAATATCTGCACTTGAGCAGTCGTATTTAGTCATGTAGCCGCGGAGACTTCGCGGTAGTTTAGTTAGTTAATAATCATTAACGTTTGGGACCATTTCATTGGAGATACCATTCATCGACATTCGCACTTCCAAGAACCAATAAACCGCCTTGTTTTCCGCGGCACCAGGGAAGTAGTTGAGCAAACAAGTATGCTAAGACCATTCTCAATCGCGCCTGCTCTCCTTCATCAGACATCACTCGCTTCAAATCTCAGGTGGGACAGGCACTGACCTGAATATTCTGCAGAGCCAGATTTTCCGTTTTTGTGCCACCATGAACCCTGAATTGAGGTCTCTTCCCGGTGACCAAGCTAAACAGATCAGTAACTGCCTTTACTAAAAAGTCCATATCCAAATCAATGTGGTATGCCCCAATGGCATCCGCTAGCTCCTTAGCTCGTGCACGAGTGTCTGCACTAGAATTCTTGGTACCCATGAAGCATGTATGGAATATCCTCCCAGCGAGCTCTTGAGGTGTCCTCGGAACCCAAGTAGACTCCTCGGGTTCTCCGCATACCCTTCGCGCATCTTTGATTACTTGCTCCTCTAGCCATAGTAAATTATGTTAGCTTTAAATGCCCTCAACATCGAAGAGGAAAAACACACCGCCATTCTCACAAGCCTCATGGACAAGTCGGCACATCGAATGAACAATGGTAGCAGTGGCACAACTATCAATGCCACCACTCAACGGCAAAAAATACCCGGAAACACCACCGCATCTACGCAGGTAGTCCCAAAGCCAACAAGCAGGCCCAAGAGCAATCTCCTCCTCAGGAGAGTGGTATCGAATGTCGATAGTCGGCGTGGGTTTCAAAGAAATCTCCGCTCTGTCGCTCGGAGCGGAGATACTGATGTCCACTTCGATGCGTTGGTAAGGAGTGTTCTGAACGGCTTGTACGCCTCTAGATGGTGCGAAGCGGAAGCTGCGGACTTCCTCAAGGTCCACGGTTGCTGTGATAACTTCCTATTTATTTATTTATTCCATTAGTGCCCTTCTATTATAGGGCGATCAATTTGATATACTCACGACATCCTGAAGAGAGAATTGCGTGCCTTGAGCGACAATTTTACCGTTGATCCCAATCATGGCACTCCCATCGTAATAAAGCCTATCTCCGTCACATCCTTGTTGATTTGCATACAGGTATATACCGCCGCACTACCACAAGTCAGGCGAGGCTCACCGAGCCCTCTAGAGGAGTAACACATACCTTCTTGGTTGCCTCAGTCATGAGCTCTATCCTAGTCTGCAGCTTCCGCAACTCATGGTGACTTCCGCTGGAATTCGTCATAATCTCGATCCCATCCAGCGACATCCCGATATGTGGACTATTCATTCATCAGCAACTCCCTCCCTTCTACACCTTCTCCCACCGGAAATCAAAGGAGCCGACCTATTCGGAGTGAACATCTCCTCGCAAGTCTCCGGCGCAATACACGTGTCTAACGTAGATATTGCCGCATCGCCAAACGGCACCTTCCTCTGACCCGTAATGGTCATGATGATCCTGGGCAAGTAATACTCTTCAACATACTTTGTCCTCCCCCATCCGGTAAAGTACCTCATCTCACGGTAGTTTCCATCGTTGGCAAGATATATCTTTGGACGGATGAGCAGGATCCTCTTATTGTGGGCAATGACGCGACAGTTATAGCGGATGTTCTTGTGGCCGATCGGCATTCCGATGTCAAGGAGGATGTCCTGACAATCTTCGTGGGCGATGATTTTTGCGAGAATCTCCCAGGAGTGGAGGTATGTGTCACCTATTAATGATATTTTGGGTTATAACTCTGTTCACTTGGGGATTAGGAGCGATCGGGCGATTATTACCTTCCAGGAAGTGATCGAGACAGCCATATCCACTGTCCCCATCAACATCGACAAGCATTAGACTCCAAATCTAGGCTGCGCAAGAGGAGCTCAAACCTACGTTATCTCAAGTTCCGGCCCAACTCTCAAAGACGCTCCAGCCTCCTTCGCGATACGGATACTTTCGATGATACGTTCGGCGTTACCTTCAAAGTCAAGCGCCCATTGGTTCAGCGAACTATCAGAAACGGTTAACCCTCAATCCATTCCTGGTATTGTCAAGAGGGATTCAAACCAAGTAGCTAGAACTGCCAGATGCCCCATTTTAGACAAGCTCTCGGAAATCGTTGTCAATTTATTTTTTCTCTGTTTTGTGCTGAGCTATTCACAGGTGCACAGCCAAGGCGAAGCAGAGGAATGAGGTATCATCCGCGGGGCAGGGTACCAGTAGTTATGTGCCGGGACCGGGATTTATATCATATGGTTCCGGACACAGCCAATCGACACCTATGTTAATTCGCTGAGATGTTTAGTAAGCTGCCAAGAGACTTGGTACCGGTAATAGGTAATGATGGCGGACTAACGTCAACTAAGGTACCGTAAAAACCCGCTGTATCCACTATGGGGGATCGGGGCTTGGCAGTTGCGCAAGGGGATGTGCGTAATGGTATCAAGATATTGAGTGATGGCCTGTGATGCCAAAGTTAACTCTTTTTAACATTAGTGTTATGTACTGTTAGAATTAAGAGTAGCTAACTTACAGCAGACACACCTGGTATCCCTAATCTTGATAACCTGAACACTACCCTCCTTGTAAAGTCTTTTGAGATTGAACTTTCGTTTCTTCCTTCTTTTGTGCTTTTCTCAGAATTCATCACTATTTTCCTACAAGCTAATGAAACCTAAAGAAAGCACAAAAGAATGAAGTAGTAAGGGAGGAATCATGATACATCATAAGTAGAGATGAACATAGAAGGAGGAAAAATCTCTAACTGACAACCAACCTCTTAGCTAAGGACAGGACTAGTGATATATCTCCCGAACTCCAAAAACTCAATGAACTACAAAGAAACATACCAAGCTAGTAAACCATGATCTCAAAAAATCCAGAACCATTATGATATCTCATGATCTACTATGATCCCTCAAGCTCTATCCCATATGAACTAGTATTTTATGCCTAATAGTATAGAACATAAGATAAACAACAAAAGCCAAAAACTTATATTCTATACCTAGTGGCATAGCATGCGAAAGAAACAGTCTCATACCTCATACCTGATAACCTCTGATATACCTAATCGCATATCCAAACCACATCTATCAAACCACATCTCCTATAGGTAATCCAATAGAGGCATGTCAAAAGATATAAAGTATATAAATATTATAGTCTTGTATTAGTCTTCAGTTTCAATAAATGCTACATTATCTTCCTCCTCTTCCTGCACGCTCAGCTCTCTCATCCAATGAAGTCAAATTGTTACGGTTTAGCATCTATATAGCCTGAGGTAAATAGAGAGGTCTTAGGTTTTGTGGTATTCTTAGTAGATTGAATAATGTTAGGATTAGGTTAGGACAAAATAGTGATGAGCTAAAAAAAATAGGGTTTCAGAAGTCGTGACATGTTTTTCTTTGTCAACACATTTGTGCTCTCGGGAAGTTCTGTTTTTGCTTAAAAGGATGCTGAGGCACCTCTCCTTGTATTTTCTCTTTTCTCTCCTTAGTTTGTATCTTTTGTATTCTAGCAACACAAAGATATCTCCTCTCCAGTCTTGCTCCTGTCTCCTGCCTCTACTCCTCCTCTGCCCCTGCCTCTACTCCTGTCTCTGCTCCTACCTCTGATCCTGTCTCTGCCCCTTCCTCTACTCTCATCTCTGCCCCTACCTCTACTTCTACCTCAACCCTCACCTCCCTCTCCAGCTATTACCCTGTCATGCGGATACCCTTTGGCAACTCCTTGTCCCTGCCATTCCCGTTACACAAATCCTCTTTCCAATTTCCAATTTCCAAGTTTGTGAAACCCTTTATATCCAACTTATTATCCTGATTTCTATCAATTGGAAGTGACAATCTTAATATAAGGAAAAAAGTTTTAATTATATGACTTTTGGAGGAATAGAACTGGTTGAATGCTTCGCCTACACAGTAAGTGGTCATGACCCTATGGTCCCCCACCGTCCATTTTTCACAATTCTTTGCTGACTCTAACTCAAATATTTTTGAATTTGTAAGATCTTGAATTAGTTTCTTAAAGAGCTTATTTACGGAGACATCAAGAGGCTGGATGAGATGAGTACATCCAGTAGGAATTAACGAGAGGGGTAATATTGTTGTTATAAAGGAGCTGTAGAACTGCTGGAGTCTTATGAGATGCTATTAAATAGAGAGTAAAAAGATTGGGTGTCTTCCGAGTACAGGAATCAGATGCTTTGTAATATAATTCTCAAAAAGAGAATTATTCATATAGGATGTTGGATTATAATCCACTAAAACATCTGAGTAATAGCATAGTTTTTCTGCCCTAAGCCTTTTTCCAGTTTCATGAAATATTACTATTGGTGGTACTCGTGATACAGTATCTGTAAATATATACAGAACTAAGCTTGCCTGTCTTTTATCCTACCCAGACTGGCTTCCCTTCACGCAAATAGTCTTTTCTCCTACCTGATCATAGGTATTTCCTGTAAGTACTCAAATGATATTAGTGTCCCATCCAAATTGCAAATAGTTGATAGCTCATAATGGTCCACTAGGCATTCCACCGTAATCTCACAAAATGCATGCCATTACAGCTGGAAATTTCAGCAATTGAATCAGAGCCAATTAATGATAAGTATCTCTTAATTAGCCAGGAGAGATTGTACCTTCTTAGTGATACTCTGTAGACTAATTTGATGGTGACAGAAACTCCTGAAACCACCCATTGCTGAACCAGAAGATCACTTGGTTCACATTTGTATAAAGGACATGAAGTTGAAACTGAGACTGTATTTGAAACTACCTCTGCCATACTGTTTGGCACGCTTTTCTTCTTTCTATAAAGTCCTAATATAACTGTTTCTCCAATTCTGGCTACAATACCCTCTCAATATAACCCAATCCCTCCTCTCTTTCCCGGTAACCACCTCCCTCTTTCCCAGTAACCACCTCTCAAAGCTCTCAATTCTCTTTCTCTTGTGTATCCAGTCACTAATTGTTTTTTGTAAAATTTTATAGAACCCTGATACTTCATATTGTATGATCTTGTGATACTTACCATTGCAGTAGAGAGGAATTTCATAGTGCTCGAGGAAGGCAAGTACTCTGATTTTCTGTAATTGACTATAGGTTCATTCTGGGTATTTGATTAGCATTAGATCATATAGAGTAAGAACTCGATCTTCAATAGGCCTCTCTTGTGGCCCATGGCGCTGACCCTTTAGACTTCGAATAGGCAACATCTTTTCTTTCTAATTGTATACCCTATGCTCTTTACTCTATGCCTTTTATATTTCCTTTTCTTCATATTTATGGTTACATATACATATTTTACAATATTAAGTAACAAAACATCAGATCAACTCATTCTCTCTCCTATAATTTCAAATTCTAGTTATCTTATAATTCAGGTAAGTCTGTAAACATCCTCCTAACTCTTTTGATTTTATTTTTAATTTTATATGATGTATACTGACTCATACTCTGTTTGATAGAGTATGTACTATTTCTCACTTTGGTGTTATAGCTAGCTACTTGATCCCTTGGCACTACCATACAGATCCCTCCAAACTATCGCCAAGCCCTGATTCCTGATAGTAGATACAGCAGGTTTTTATAGTATTATGAAATAGGACATTGACAGGATGTAGGATCTAGTGATTACAATATTTGAGAGAGCTTCTTGTGTATATTTTAGTAACAGATAACTCAAGAAAAAGTCCACAATATAAAGAGAGCAATGAAAATGATGCCAATGAAGATGATGCCAATAAAGGCAAAATAACAGAGAGCTGTATGAGAGATAATTAGTGAGAGTTCAGAGATCAGCAGGAATAAAATAGGTAGATAGTAAGTGGGAGAAGAGTAAGATGTGGAAGGTGTTGTGTATTTGCATTGAGGGAGGAAGATTCAGCTTATAAGCTCATTCTTCCACTTTTTCCAGTATTCAGAATAGTCTGATTTTCTTGTGGTCTAATTTCTTCGATGGCCACATTGTATTGATATTGCGTGGTAGCAATTATACTATATCTCCAAGTGGTATATTAGGCTCGGGCCTCCAGTATTTATTGTATTGTTCTTTCTGCTATTGCTGTACTTGACTCATTTCATATCATAAAATTTCATGTAGTTTTTCCATATTTGTCTTATCCATTATCACCCCATGAATCGTATGATTTGTGGCATGACTCTTTGGATGTTGTCCACAATTCGCAAAAAATAGTATCATGCCTATCGTTTCTTGTTTTCCATTGTTGTATGCAAACTTGGCCATTGATAACAACTTATGGCAATCGTCTTGCTGATAATTGAGGTCGGCTCATAAATGTTGCTCAAGTATCGCATTTACCCTTTCCGTTTGTCTGTGAGTCTACTGGTGAAATGCAATGCACAACCGATTTTGTATTCCTATTTCTCTGCTTACTTTTTTCCATAATCCTGATGTAAATAGTGTTCCTTGATCTATAATAATATTGTTTAAAAGGTCATGCAGTTGGAAAACCTCTTAGAAGAATGTTCATATAAAATCTCATGCATCTATATTCTTTTTGAATGGAACAGGATGACTCATT